TCGCCATTTTCGAGGCCTGCTGGGGGGCCCAGCACAGTGAGGGCGACGCGCGGATTCAAATTAGACCTCGCCATCCCTGGGGGGCTGCGATCTGTGAAACTGTCGCCATTTTCGAGGCCTGCTGGGGGGCCCAGCACAGTGAGGGCGACGCGCAGATTCAAATTAGACCTCGCCATCCCTGGGGGGGTGCGATCTGTGAAACTGCCGCCATTTTCGAGGCCTGCTGGGGGGCCCAGCACAGTGAGGGCGACGCGCAGATTCAAATTAGACCTCGCCATCCCTGGGGGGGCTGCGATCTGTGAAACTGTCGCCATTTTCGAGGCCTGCTGGGGGGCCAGCACAGTGAGGGCGACGCGCAGATTCAAATTAGACCTCGCCATCCCTGGGGGGCTGCGATCTGTGAAACTGTCGCCATTTTCGAGGCCTGCTGGGGGGCCCAGCACAGTGAGGGCCACGCGCGGATTCAAATTACACCTCGCCATCCCTGGGGGGCTGCGATCTGTGAAACTGTCGCCATTTTCGAGGCCTGCTGGGGGGCCCAGCACAGTGAGGGCCACGCGCGGATTCAAATTAGACCTCGCCATCCCTGGGGGGCTGCGATCTGTGAAACTGTCGCCACTTTCGAGGCCTGCTGGGGGGCCCAGCACAGTGACGCCACGCGCAGATTCAAATTAGACCTCGCCATCCCTGGGGGGCTGCGATCTGTGAAACTGTCGCCACTTTCGAGGCCTGCTGGGGGGCCCAGCACAGTGAGGGCCACGCGCGGACCCAAATTAGACCTCGCCATCCCTGGGGGGCTGCGATCTGTGAAACTGTCGCCACTTTCGAGGCCTGCTGGGGGGCCCAGCGCAGTGACGCCACGCGCGGACCCAAATTAGACCTCGCCATCCCTGGGGGGCTGCGATCTGTGAAACTGTCGCCACTTTCGAGGCCTGCTGGGGGCCCAGCACAGTGACCCACGCGCGACCCAAATTAGACCTCGCCATCCCTGGGGGGCTGCGATCTGTGAAACTGTCGCCACTTTCGAGGCTTGCTGGGGGGCCCAGCACAGTGACGCCACGCGCGGACCCAAGTTAGACCTCGCGATCTGTGAAACTGTCGCCAATTTCGAGGCCTGCTGGGGGGCCCAGCACAGTGACGCCACGCGCGGACCCAAATTAGACCTCGCCATCCCTGGGGGGCTGCGATCTGTGAAACTGTCGCCACTTTCGAGGCCCGCCGGGGGGGCCCAGCACAGTGACGCCACGGGCGGATTCAAATTCTACCTCGCCATCCCTGGGGGGCTGCAATCTGAGATCCCCACCCGCTTTCGAAGTGGCTAGGGTTGCTCAGAGATTGTACCTAATCAGCTTTATCTAGTCCTTGTCCTGTAGCCAGTGTCCTGCGAATCTCCCGAATTCCCTCTGCAGACATATGTAACCCTCGCTCCGTCATCGCCCCCCTTAGAAAGTGTCCTAAACTATTTGCGCCCAGCGTTTGCGCAGGGGTTGGGTACGTCGCCAGGGTAATTACCCACATAGTGTTTTTTTTCCCAAGGGACCCTCAGGGGGGGGGATACTGCCCGCCTGGAATAGTGCAAATTCATATTTGGGGTGGACATGTGGTCAGAATCATACATGATTTACATATCCGAAAGGGGGGCCGGTAGCGCCGGGGGAGGTAGATCCTATTCTGTTTGTAGAAAGGAGATTCTACGCGTGCAATCTACGTGGTGCAATTAATTTTTGACCGTCTTGAAGCTGTCCTCTCCACCGCTCGTGCAAACATCCCACCCTCCCACCCGCAACTTGGTCGCAAGACCTCTTGAGACAAGACCGTGGCGGTACGTACCACATGACATTTGGCCACGACACCGACGCCGACGACGATAGCAACAACAACGACGACGCCGCCGCCGACACCGACTACGACGACACCGACGACGTTTCCAACGACTTCGACGACGACAACGACGGCACCGACGACGACGACGACGACGACGACGTCAACGACGCCGACGACGACGACGACGACGACGACGACGACGACGACGGCGACTACGACGACACCGACGACGTCTCCGGTCTCCGACGACTTCGACGACGACAACGACGCCGACGCCGACGACGACGACGACGACGACGACGAAGACGACGACGAGGGAAGAGGAAGGACGACGACGGCGACAACGACGACAACGACGACAACGACGACAACGACGAGGGAGGAGGGAGGACGGCGACGACGCGAACGACGAAGAAGGAGGAAGGACGGCGGCGCCGATGACGACAACGACGAGGGAGGAGGGAAGACGACGACGACAACGACGACGACGACGACGGCGAAATAGGAGGGACGACGACGAGACGCCGACAACGGACGACGACGACGACGAGGGAGGAGGAGGAAGGACGACCACGGCAACAACGACGACGGAAACGACCACGACGCCAAAGAGGACGACGACGACAAACACGAGGAAAGACAGAGGACGACGTAGGCGACGACGACGACGACGACGACGCGGGAGGAGGGAAGACGGCGACAACGACGACGACGACGACGACGACGTAAGAGCGCGCGCGCACGCTTTTGTTGAAAATCCGCGCTGCCAAACCTTATGTTTTTGTAGGTTTATTGGACGCACGATTTTGAAATCCCTCCGAAACCGATGGGTTTTGAAGGTTTTCGGCAGACGCGCGCGACGACGCGCGCGTCTGCACTTCGTCCTATCTGTTGCACAGGATTCTCGCGACGGCACACGCGCAAGGGCGCTCGACATATTTCGACATGCGCGCGCGAAGCCCGTTTAATAGCATGTTGTGAAAATATTGAAGAACCCGATGGTTGTATTAAGATTTCGCAGGAGCTCGCGCGGAAGTTTGTTTAGCAAATCCGTGTTGCGAACCCCTGTGTTTTTTTGTAAATTGTTTGGAAACTCGATTGCGAAATCCTTCCGGCACCGAAGGCTTTTGAAAGATTTCGGCATGCGCGCGCGACGACGCGCGCGTGTGCACTTCGTCCCGTTTTGCAAGGGATTCGTGAAAAGTGTTATGTTAAAACAAAAAATGTTACCACATAGTTCAAGGGACCCCCACATAGTTCAAGGGACCCTCAGAGGGGGGGATACCGGCCCTCCTGGGATAGTGCAAATTCATACTTAGGATGGACATGTGGTCGGAATCATATATGATTTACACATCCGAAAAGGGGGACCAATAACGCCGGGGGGGGGTAGATCCTATTCTGTTTTTAGGAAGGAGAACTCACCAATCTTGAAGTTGCCCACTCCGCTGCTCGCGCAATCATCCCACCCGCCCACCCGCAACTTGGTTTGCAAACCCCATGCGGAAGCGATTGCGATGAAGGCTGAATGTTGGCTGCAGCATTTCTGCGGCCGCGCCAGCCCGCGCATGCTCGCGCGCGCAGCGGTCAGCTAGTTTGGCGCGACTGGCGCGAACGCGGCGGCGCTGACCGCTCGGCACATCCCAGCGGGCACTTCAGTGCGAGTCGGCGGCTTGGGCGGGCGAGGTATCATGGCAACGTCGACAACGGTAGTCACGATGGTAATAGGGATGCTGGCGAAGATGCTGACAACGACGACGGGGCAGCAAATGACGGCGCCGATGCTGATCACGCAGACGACGATGCCGGCGCCTTCGCGTCGGTCATGAAAGATTTAGAGGGAATTCGAAATGCGCGCGCGGCAGACGCGCGGAAAATGGCTCGCATGGTATGATTTAACACGGATCGTGCCACCCCAGCACGCGCGCAAGGGAGCTCGAACGATTTCGACATGCGCGCACGAAGCCCGTTTGGCAGCATGTTCTACCAACATTGGAAAATCGATGGTTGTTTGAAGGATTCGCAAGAGCGCGCGCACGCTTGTCTTGAAAATCCGTGTTGCGAAACCCTGTGTTTATAATGTTCTTTGGACACTCGAATTTGAAATCTTTCCGAAAACTAAAATTCTTAAAGGATTACGGCATGCGCCCGCGACGACGCGCGCGAGCGCACTTCGTCCCTTTTTGTTGCAAGGGATGTTTGACAACTTGTGACTTTTGATAAACGAATGCGCGCGCATAGTATGTTTTTGCAGAGGATGGCAGGGGGGGTCGATACCGGCTGGCCTGGGACTGCATAAATTTATACGGGAAGTGAACGAAGGGTCACGATCATGTGAATTTCCCATCGAAGCGCGTGGCGGATAACCCCTGGGGGTGATGAAGTCTTTTGAAGAGAGGAGAACGTATGCGATGCAACCTATGTAATGCAATATATGCGCGGCCACGTATGCCATGCGGCGACGGCGACGGGCGGCGACGGGCGGCACGGGCGGCGACGGACGGGGATTGCGGCGACGGCGACGGGCGGCGACGGGCGGCACGGGCGGCGACGGACGGGGATTGCGGCGACGGCGACGGGCGGCGACGGCGATGGGCGGCGACGGGCAGCGACGGGCGGCACGGGCGGCGACGGGCGGGGATGGCGGCGACGGGCGGCGAAGGCGACGGGCGGCGACGGGCGGCACGGCGGCGATTTTGCGGGGAGGGTCCCGAGATGGTTAACCGAAGTAAGAACCCCTAGTTCTGCAAGCACTGTTTGGGGAACAATCAATGTTCTTAGAGCACAAAGCCGACGTGCTAAAGCAAGACAGTCTCGGCCAGAAAGTATCTAAGAACACCTCCTGCAAACCACGACAGGTTCTCAGAACATTATTTGGTGTGCCTATTGGAAAGCCAGGACGGTTCGCCACTGCTCGATCATCAAGCCAAGATCTTCAGATTCTGACAGCTTTCGGCTCCTAACTTGAGCCTCCGGCGGCCGTTCGGGACGATCCGAGCACCCCCGGAACGCCCACGGTGAGGCGCAGCTGCTGGAACGCATCCCGAGCTTGGAAAGCTGCGGAGAACCGACGCAAACACAAGAACACCTCGAACTTTGAACGTGAGCCCCTTCCGGGCGCGAGGACCCTGAGATCGACCGCGGCGCACGACCGACGCCCCCCCCCGGCCGGCCGCCTCCGGCAGCGCAGGCGCCAGCGGCGGCGGCGCCCCGGGGGACCCCGCCGCAGGCGCGGCCACGGCCTTCCCCGCTCGTGCTGCCGCCGCTTGGCACGGCGCCGCCGCTGCCGCCGTGGCCGCCGCCGTCGGCGCCGCCTGCCGCGGCGGCCGGCCGCCGCCGTCGGCGACGGCGGCCGCCGCCGTCGGCGCCGGCGCCGGCGGCGAGGACGACGGCATCGCCCCAAACCTCCGACAAACCATTCCTTTCGATCCGGGAGTTCCTCCTCGAGTTCGGCTCTCGGGGGCCCGTGGATGCGCCCCTGGAGGCCATCAAGGATGGCTCTGGGCGGAGAGCTGGCCCTGGGGAAGAGGTCGGGACGTCTGGGCTCGCGGAGCTGAAGAGTCCTTTCGGCGGACGTCTGGGGTCCCGGCCGCCGTCGCTGTCGTCGCCTTCAATCCGCCGTCGCCGCCGTCGAAGTCCTCGCCATCCGCCGCCGCCGTCAGTGTCGTCTCGTCGGCCGTCGTCGTCGTCGTCGTCGTCGTCGTCGCCCTGGTCGTCGTCGTCGTCGTCGTCGTCGTCGTCGTCGTCGTCGTCGTCGTCGTCGTCGTCGTCGTCGTCGTCGTGGCCGTCGTCGTCGTCGTCGTCGTCGTCGTCGTCGTCGTCGTCGTCGTCGTCGTCGTCGTCGTCGTCGTCGTCGTCGTCTTCGTCGTCGTCGTCGTCCTCGTCGAGGTGTCCCCAGGGTTCCCTTCCAAATAGAACTCGCATCTCAGCAAATTGGGCCACCAAACGGACCCATGATCGAGCCCATTCGGCGCCCGAGCGGGCCGGATTCCGACCGGACCCTCAACATCGAATCCATTCAGCGGCCCACTCGGCGAGGGTTGGTCAGAATGCGGCCCACTCGGACGCGGAATGGGCTCGATCCTGGGTCCGCTGGGCAGCCGAACGGGCTTAGATGCCATACGGGCTCGGAATGGAACCCTCGGGCGCAGCCGTCGTTGTCGCTTTCGCCTTCGGCATCGTCGTCGTCGTCGCCGCCTTCTTGTCGAGAAATTGGATCTCTGTTGGCCCTTGTCTGGGCCTCCAGGATCGCCCTAGTGGGCACGTTGGGCCGTCGCCGGTCGCCGTCGTGGTGGTCTTCGCCGTCGACGTTGTGGCTCGTTTGTCCCAAACATCCTGTGGTGTTGGGTCCCCTTTTGAAGAGACAACGTCCCGCGTCCTATCCTCTCCTCCTCCTCCTCCTCCTTCCCCTCCTCCTGCTCCTCCTCCTCCGCCGCCTCCTCCTCCTTTTCCTTCTCCTCCTCCTCCTCATCCTCCTCATCCCCCTCATCATCCTCATCCTCCTCGTCCTCCTCCTCCTCATCCTCCCCTCCTCCTCCTCCTCCTCCTCCTCCTCCTCCTCCTCCTCCTCCTCCTCCTCCTCCTCCTCCTCCTCCTCCTCCTCCTCCCCCTCCTTCTCCTCCTCCTCCCCTTTCCCATCCCTGTCTCTGCCCTCCGCGTGTCCGTTCAGGCACACCGCTCACACGCTTCGTGGCCCCACAGGGAGCTCCACCCAAGGCCCCAATGGCGCAATCCGCACGGTGGCGACGAGCCCGTGCCGGCACAAACCCCCCACGCGTTCGAGGCTGCGCCGCACCCGCTTCGGCACACCCCTCACACGCCGCAGTCCGCGTGCTCCCCCCCTTCGGCTCGCCTGCCTCGCGGCAGCGATTCGCGTATGCGTCCGGTCGGGCCTCTCGCCAGGACGACGTGTGTGTTCTCTCCGTCGTCGGGGCGCGGAGCGCCGGTCGGTCGCCCGCCCAGCGGGGCGGCTCCCGAGGGGAGCAGGCACCGAGGCGGTTGAGCAGTAGGGCGTCAGGCGGCATGGCAGAGGCGCCCGGGAACGCTATGGAATGCAATAGGGGGGACAAGTGTCCTCCCCCCCCCCGTGGAAAAAACAACAACAAACAAAAAAACAAAAAAAGGGCACTGAACTCGGCCCGACTCTTCCGACTCCGACACTCTGGGAGGGACGGCGGGCGTGGGCGCAGCAGCCGCCCGCAGCGCCCGCACGACGCCCTCCACGGCAGGGACTCGAGTGAGCTCGCGGGCCGCCGCAGGCGCTGATGGAGAGCCGACGGCAGGAGGTGACACCAGCGTTCCTTCCTCCCGACCCTACCCGCTCCCCGCCCACCCCGCCGAGCATCTCTGGGTTTCCCTCGCTGCCATGGCTTCTCTGATGGCCGTCGGGGGGCCCTCGCGTCTGGGATAGCCCCCGTTGAATTCTGGATAGATTCGCCGCCCCGTTTGGGGACATGCCTAGGCACCCCCATTTTCAGGTGCCTACTGTCGAGAGTCACGCGTTTCCAGCAAAGAACACACAGGCTTTTTTACATATATATATATATATATATATATATATATATACATATATATATATAATGGCAACGTAAGTGATGCCGCGGCTCCCATGCACCGACACGACCCCTCCCACAATCGCCCGAGGCGGGGCAGGCTGAAATCCTTTGGGCGGGGCACCCGGGTCACCGGGGGCCAGCTCACCAGGGCAGGGAGCGGCAGCAAACTCCAGCATCCCGCGGCCTGTCACAACTCTGTTTACAGTCAAAACGTCTAGTAAGGACGCAAGGTAAGGACGCAAGACCATTGGAGGCCGAAGTTGGGTTTTTGAGGGCGGCGGGCGACCAGTGCTAATGGCAAGGACGAGCCTCAGAGGCAAGGACACAAGGGCACCCTAGATGAAGGCGCGCGTCCTTACGAGGCGCGTTGACTGCACGCACGGAACACCTCCACCCGCTACCCGCCTTCTCCGTGCGGTGAGCCGGCTCGGCTGTGGCCTTGACCAGCTTGTCAACAGGCGCTCTCCGCTGGTCTGGCTCGCGCGCCGCCGCGCTGGGAGCAGGGCGCACTCGCTGCACCCGTCGGGGCCCCTGCGAGCGCGCCCCCGGACCCTGTGCACACTGGCACCGCCCCCACCCGTATCAGGAGCCCCACCGACCAGCCCCACGCCCCAAGCCGCCTCCGCCCCCTCCCCCGCCCGCGCCAGCGGCAGCGCTGCCTGCTGCCGCCTCCTGCTGGGATTCCTGGATCAACAGGTCTAGGGAATCACCAGGGTGGCAGAGGAGCCACCGCGCATCCACGGCATCCGCGGCGGGGCGGCGAATGAAAAAGCAAGGCGAGCTCTCGCCCAGAGATCCTCATCGGCCCCAGCGGGGCTGGGGGACTCCATCTTAGAACACCCAAGACTGGCCACGGTCGCGTGCTCAGTGAAAAACTCGAGTGGCCCTCGGACCTCTCACAACGCCATACAAAAAGCTTGAATTTCGGAGCGGGGGGGGCCCTGTCAGGGGTCTGGAGATGCCATGACAGTGGACACCCTGACAATCCGATCATTGAATTAAACATGTGTTTGAAATGCTCTAGAATGCTTTAAACATGTGTTTGTTTCAGACATGTTTAACATATGTTTTAGACATCTGGAAATTATTTGGCAACATGTTTTCTCTCCATCGATCGTCGTCCACAAGGCAAGAGCGAAACGCAGGCCCCTAAAATCCCCCCCTGCGAGGCAATCGCACAGACGGCCGAGCCGCACCTGCGACGCCAAGGGTCGCCCCCAACATCGCCCTCCAGAGCCGTCGGCAACCATCTGTACAGCCCCGTTCCCCCGACATGCCCCCGAGTCCTCACGGCCCCCCGCCCGACCTCCCCTCCAGCCCACGCGCGCAAAGAAACTCCCTGTTAAAAACTGGATGGGTGCGGCAAGCGGGCGGGGGGCCTCGGAACCGCAGAGCGGGCTCGGCAGATGCCCCGGCAAGTGCCGCTGGGATCAGTGCAGTTGTCTGACTGATTGTAGCCCCGATGGTCAACATGCGCAGGGCACTCCCAAATCCGATACATTAGTGATTCACTCGCTCCCAAGCATATGTCATACATCTCTGAAACGATGTACCCTTTTACGCGGCAACGAACCTTGGGCCACCGCCCATCTGAAACGACCGTGACGTCGAGTGCGTACTGGTCCAGCATCCCCTTCCGCTCGAACCTCTTCTGCTCGTTGGCCACCGGCCACAAGTCCCCGCCTTCTTCGAAGCCAGCGCCGCGCTCATGCTCGGAAGCCTTGGTCCACAAGGCGCGTCTGAGGTCTGCCTCGAAGTCGTCTATCAACTCTTGGAAGCAACCCTTCGCCTTGAACTCGCCGCCCGTGGCTGTTGGTAGCCCCCATAGTTCCATATCATCACATGCAGGTCGAAGCCATCGCGCGGCCGCGGTGGGGGCCCATCCCACGTCCAAGAGGGCGGACTGGAGCGCTCCCACTGGCCCACGCACCGTGGCCCAACGAAGATCACCACGTCTACCCAGTCTGCGGCGGATAATCGACCAAGCACGGCACGCACGAGACTGGATATGAGGAAACCTATGCCACATACATCTCCGTCCACGAAAAACTGAAAGACGCAATTCGACTCCAAGGTCTCGCAATTCGATCTCCATTCCCAGGATAGTCGTTAAGCATCGCCCTCTGGCAGTACCACCTACAATCTGCCCAGCCTGCCTGCGGAGACGCGTGATCTCCGCGGGGGTGGTGCAAGGCTTGTTGTCCGCGCACCGCTTGTGGTATCGCGCCAGCGTTGAAGAGCCAAGCGGTCTCCTTGCCGAGCGCCGCGATGCGCCTCAACCTGCAGATCTTGGCGAATCTGCGCCGTGCCTGAGCTTGTCGTTTCTTACTCTTGCGCGCCACCCTCTTCCTTCCACTTGCCGTGCCCATGCCTCGATCCAAGGCGGTGGTGGCCGCCTTCGATGGCACGCCTCCCTTCCTCAATGTGTGGGCCACCTGCTTGCGCGACTGGGGGTCAGAGCCCGCGATGGCGGTCTTGTCCGAGATGTTGGACTAAACATACGCACAGCTCGACAGAAACATCTATCAAATCATTCCCAACTGTCCTGGAACTGCCCTCACATCGACGAACGTCCACAAGCACGCACGCGGTGCCCTACCATGTGCACGTTCGAGAGCTGGATGCAGGAAGAATGTGACTAGCTGTACGCCACGTGCCGCTCCAGCCACTGCAGACATTCAGGCAAGTTGGTACGATCTGCGACCTCGGCCCGAAGCCTCACACCGCACCAAAGGCACCAGACTGTCAACCCAGCCAGGCCAGGGGCCGTCGGCCCAGCTGGCCTGGGGGAAGGAGGGGGTCTGGCGGCAGGTCGCGGGCGATGGGCGCGGCGTCGGACACCTTTTGGTCTGCGGGTCGGGAGCGGGCCCCTTCCCGTCAAGAGCCAAACGGGACGCGGGTAGCCCTAATTTGGGGAGACGGGGCGCGGGCGGGCGGGGCCTCGGGCGGCCGGAGGGCTCAGAAAGCAGGCGGTGCCGAAGATCTTGCAGCGCGGCGTCGTTGCCGCATTGTGGGGATCTAGAAACGAGAATTCAATAGCATCAACAACACCAACAGCAACAACAGCAGCAGCAACAGCAACAACCATAGTTTTAAGCTTGTTCGCTCTTTTTTGCTCGCGATCTGTTCAATACATATATCCCGAACTCTCGATATACGCTCTACTCGTCTTCGATCGTACCCCCTTATGGGCATCCATTTCGTACCTGCAACGCGCATTCCGTGCAGCATCTAAGGCAGGGGAAGAAACCGAACGCGGGCGCAGGGGCCCCCGGCAGACGTTGGCGAGGGCGCCCCGCTCGGGAGCGTCGTCCTCGCAGCGGAGGCCGTCGACGGCGGCGGGCGGCGGCGCGGTGGGCCCACGGCGGACGGCGGGCGACGGCGGCGCCCCACCCCCCCGAAGAGGCGCGGCGGGCCGGGTACGCCAGCGCGGCGGCGCTGGGCGGGGGCGCAGTGGCCATGGCTGCGGCTGCCGCGGCCTTGAGGAGGAGGAGGAGGAGGAGGAGGAGGAGGAGGAGGAGGAGTCCAGAGAGAGTTCCAGAATGAAGGACGGCGCGAGTCATGGAGGGCGAGGAGGGGGGAGGAGGAGGAGGAGGAGGAGGAGGAGGAGGAGGAGGAGGAGGAGGAGGAGGAGGAGGGAGGAGAGGAGGGGGAGGAGGAGGAGGAGGAGCGTGGGATGGGGAGGAGCAGGATAGACGAGGAGTGAGGGAGAGGGCAAGGGAGGAGAGGGAAGCAGGGAGGCGCGGCCCTCGACAGGTGGCCACCGCCGCCACAGCAAGTGCCGCCTCCTCCTGCTCCTCCTCCTCCTCCTCCTCCCTCCTCTCTCCTCCTCCTCATCATCATCATCATCATCATCATCATCATCATCATCATCATCATCATCATCATCATCATCATCATCATCATCATCATCATCATCATCATCATCATCATCATCATCATCATCATCATCAGCATCATCATCATCATCAGCAGCATCATCATCATCATCATCATCATCATCATCATCATCATCAGCATCATCATCATCATCATCATCATCATCATCATCATCAGCATCATCATCATCATCATCATCATCATCAGCATCAGCATCAGCATCAGCATCAGCATCATCATCATCATCATCATCATCATCATCATCATCATCATAAGTATCATCATCAGAAGCTTCATCATCGTCATACTCATCATCATCAGCATCCTCATCATCACCAGCATCGTCATCATCATCCCCATCGTGATCAGCATCATCAGCATCAGCATCAGCATCACAAACATCAGCACCATTAGCATCATCAGCAACATCAGCATCGGCAGAAGCATCATCCTCATCAGCATCATCATAAACATCAGCATCAGCATCATAAGCATCAGCATCACCATCACCATCATCATCATCAGCATCATCAGCACCATCATCATCAGCAGCAGCATCATCATCATCATCATCAGCATCATCATCGTCATCAAAATCAGCATCAGCGTCATCAGCATCATCATCAGCAGTATCAGCATCATCCTCATCATCAGCAGCAGCATCATCAGCACCATCAGCACCAACATCATCATCAACATCACCATCAGCGTCATCAGCATCATCAGCAGTATCAGCATAATCCTCATCAGCAGCAGCAGCAGCATCATAGTCATCATCAGCATCATCATCCTGGTCATCATCATCATCATCAGCAGCATGATCATCATCAGCATCAGCATCAGCATCAGCACCATCATAGGCATCAGCATCATTGCCATCGTCAGCATCATCATCATCATAAGCATCACCATCAGCAGCAGCCTCATCCTCATCCTGATCACCATCAGCATCAGCATCATCCTCCTCATCAGCATCACTATTGTCATCCTCATCATCCGCATCACCATCATCGTCGTCATCATAATCATCAGCATCATCATCAGCATCAGCAGCAGCACCATCATCACCACCACCATTATCACCATCATCATCACCATTATCATCACCATCATCATCATCACCACCATCAGCATCACAATCACCATCATCATCCTCGGCATCATCAATGGCTCGACGCGGATTCCCCATATCTGCGTCCCATTTCCGGACACGTCCCGCTGTGAGTGCCTGGCCGTACGTGTCTGCGTGTGAGAGCGAATCTTAGTGGACGACGAGGAAGACAACGACGGCGACGACAACGGCTACGATGAGGGACAGCGACGGCGACAACTCACAGAGAGACAGGCGGTGAGCAGGTTCCCTCCCCTCCCCTTACTCTTAATACTCGTCGTATCCCCTCCCTGTTCCTGCGTTCTCCTCCCTCCTCCGTCCTCCCTCTTGCATCATGGCGGCCGTCATTCTCCCTACATCGAAATGATCATAGGGCTCTGAATGGTCAGGAGTCGGGGGTGCAAAACCGAGCGCGGAGGTGCAAAACCGAACGCCTCGTTCAATACATCCACACAATCTGGATGCCTGGGGTGCTGAAACCAGCGCCTCGCTCGAGACATCCTCGCAGTGTGCTCTGAAATCACCAAAGTCCAGGACACCAGATAAGCAAACCGCCCGCCTGAGGCATCCCCACAAACACCTCCTCCTGTTTCTCCTCCTCCTCCTCCTCCTCCTCCTCCTCCTCCTCCTCCTCCTCCTCCTCCTCCATTCCTTTACCTTATACATAACTTCTCCCTGTCGCACCCCGAGGCCAGCTTTTAGAGCGGGCCGGTGGTTTTGCCTGAGACTTCCTTATTATGTATGACCCTGAAGCTTTAAACATTACAACAGTTTCACACATAGAGGGCGGGTGTGTTTTCAAAATGTGGTTCTCGCCTTAGCGCCGCGCACATTCGTGCTAACATGTTGCAAGAGCTTCACGGATTGAGGGCGGGTTGGTTTCAAAATGTGGCTCTCGCATTAGCGCCGCACATATTCGTTTCCAAAATTTGCAAGAGCTTCACAGATTAAGGGTGGGTGGTTTTCAAAATGTGGCTCTCGCCTTAGCGCCGCGCACATTCGTGCTAACATGTTGTAAGAGTTCACGGATTGAGGGCGTGCGGTTTTCAAAATGTGGCTCTCGCCTTAGCGCCGCGCACAGTCGTTCTTAAAAATTGCAAGAGTTTCACGGCTTCCCATGATCAGCATACCAAAAATGATGTTTTTGGACGGAATCAGGGCTATGAGGGCGCAACAGTTACGTTGATTCGCTGTGTTGAAGTCTCAGGATAGGTGTCCTGGCACGATTCAAGATCGTCAAGACGCAACAGTCAGGTTGATCCGTGGCGTTGGAATCCCGAGAACATCGTTTTGGCATGCTTGAGGGCCTTCAAACGGTTGTCCTCCAACGAGGCAATTCCCTCAGTGCACATGAACCGTTGTAGGGGCCTATAAAGAAGGAGCTTGGAGGGAGGGTTTATTCCATCACGTTGATGACTTTGGGTTTCCACTGGTCCTCCTCCTCGTCCTCCTCCGGCTCTGGCTCCGAGGCCAGCTACAGCTCCGGCTCCAGCTGCGAATCCGACTCCCACTTCGCCACCTCCTCCCCGTCGTCCTCACTCGCCTCCTCCCTCCCCTCCTCCTTCTCCTCCTCCTCCTCCTCCTCCTCCTCCTCCCTCCTCCCCCTCCTCCGCCTCCTCCGCCTCCTCTACTTTCTCATGTCATCCAAGCCCGCCGACTCCAGACTCCAGGCTTCGGCCACTCCCGGGTCCTGCTGCCACGCGGGATCGTACTGCGGCGCCTCCCCGCGGGGGGCGCGGGGAGCTCCGACGACGACAATGACGACGACGCCGGCGACGACGACGATGACGACGACGACGACCAGCGTCCTGCATCGAGGCAACAAGTTTTTGGAATTCTTGCCCCGTTTCAAGTTCATCTGGCGACCTGAAGAGAGACGTGCGGAGATGCCCAGGGGCCGGAGACGACGACGACGACGATGACAACAACGACGACGACGACGACGACGACGACGACGACGACGACGACGGCGACAGAGACGGCGACAGCGACGGCGACGGCGACGGCCACGTTGACGTTGACGGCGACGGCAACGGCGGCGTTGACGGCGATGACGACGACGGCGACGAAGACGAAGACGATGACGAGGACTACGACGACCACGACGACGACGACGGCGCTGGCGCCAGCGCTGGCGGCTGCGACGTCGATGACGGAGAGTTCCACGACGACGATGACTCCAGCGCCGACGCCGACGACGGCGGCGGCGGTAGCATCGAACATCGACAACGACGACGACGACGACGACGACCACGACGACGCCGATGACGACGACGACGACGTTGACGACAATGGCGACAAAGGTGACGGCGACGGCGACGGCGACGGCGACGGCGACGGCGGTGGTGGCGACGGTTGCGACGTCGACGACGGCGACATCCACGACGACGATGACTCCGACGCCGACGCCGACGACGGCGGCGGCGGCGCCATCGAACTTCGACGACGATGACGACGACGACGGCGGAGACGACGACGACGACGACGACGACGACGACGACGACGACGACGACGACGACGACGACGGCAGCGGCGGCGACGACGACGACGACGACGGCGACAACGACGACGACGTGACGGCGACGGCGGCGGCGTGACGGCGACGGCGACGGCGGAGTCGGGCGCGCCGGGAATGGCGGCCGCCACGCGGGGTCCACGACCAGCCCTGTTGCCTGCGCCTCGCGGGCGCCGTCACCGACGACCTCGTCGCTGGCGTCGGCGGCGTCGCTGTCGACGCCGCCGTTGCTGACGCCGCCGTGATCACCGCCGTCGTCGTCGTCGTCGTCGTCGTCCTCGCCGTGGGAAAGGGAGGGGGAGGAGAAGGTGCCATGGAAAAAAGGCTCGTCATGGGAGGCTCTTGGGAAACTGTGGAAGGCCCCTTCGTTTGCCATGGAGCTGCCCCCCCCCACCGAAGGATGTTCCGCCGAGCCCGCCCTGAGACTGTCTGACGGGCTTCCGGGGACGCTTCGAAGTGCACCCTGGTAGACTCTTGAGACGGCCCTGAAGCCCCACCCTCACGAGTGGCCTAGAGGAAGGGCTCTCAGGGACTCTGAGCCCCCCTCCCCCCCGGGAGAGGTTCTTGCGGCATGATGCGCTGCCTCATGCGGCCCTCACAGTAGACTCCTAAGAATTCGCTGAGAAGCTTTTGAATAGGCCTGAAGCGCTCTAGCCGAGAGATCCTCGATATGCAGTCGAGAGCCTTCTGAGAGGCTCTTGAGGCCCCCGAGTGAATGTCTGAAGGGACCCGTTAGAAGCTCGTAGAGGCCTCCTGCGATGCCTCTCAGGGAAGCCTAACAGCGTTCAAGGGGCGTCGTGGAAAATCACTCAACAGTTATGAAAGGACGCCTGGGCGGCTCTTGAGAAGCCCTAGAGGAGCTCCCGGGAGGTCTAGGAAGACTCTTGGCACCCGCACAAAAAGCCCTGAAGTCTCCCCCCCGAAAGACAGCGAGATTATTACGAGACCCTGGAGGCATTCTGAGATGCTCTGGAAATGTATGAAGGTGTCCTGAAAGGGTGTGGAGAGGCTGTGGAGAGCCTCGAGCGAGGCTCTTGACAGGCGATGACCCCCACCACAAGAGAGATTGAGAGGTTCTGCACGGCCTCGTGGCGAGGCTCGACAGAGCGCCCTGACAGGCTCCGACGGGCACTCCGAGCGACTCCTGAAAGGCTCGGAAGGGCTTCATGGAAGCCTCCTGGAAAATCCTGAAGTGCCTCCTGACAAGCTCCTGATCGGCTCTTGAAAAAATTAGCGGCCCCATGAGAGCATCCTCAGAGACGACGAAGATCCTCGTGATATGTTCATGCGATGTTCTGAGAGGATATGAAAAGCCCCGTGGGAGCCTTTTGAAAGGCGTTGAAGAACCCCCTCTGGCACGCTTGATGAGCCCTGGAGGTCCTTGGGAGGTCCTGGAGAAAGATTCCTTGGCATGCTCTGGAGAAGACCCCCCTGGAAAGGTTTCAAGGGCCTCCTGCGAAGCTTCAGAGAAGGGTCCGTGAAGGCCCTCCCCGTGAGACGGTCTGCCCCTGCGAAGCCCCGAGTGGCCTCCTGGGGCGCTCTGGAGAGCTTCTCGAGACGCTCTTGAGAGGCAACGCAGAGGATTCTGAAGGAGCTCCTGATAAAAACTCTCTAGCCCTACCCGGTGCGAAGCTCCCAAGAGCATGCTGCCTTAGAATAGCTGCGCACTTCCTCCAGAGAGGCCTGAGGGGGCTTCCTCTGAAAATGCTGCTGGCCCTTCCCAATGCGTCTGAGCGCATCGATCTGCCAGTGCCGCCCCTATCTCCCCCATGCTGATCCTTCATCCTCCTCACCCCCTCCTATCCTGGACAATGTGTGTCTCGTCGCGCGGCCGGCGCGAGTCATCTTGAAGCCTCCAGGGGCTCCGCGCGGCGCCCTCGCTTGCGCGCCCGCGCGATCCTGACCCGGACACGCGCTCTCCCCCGCGAGTGGGTTCCCCCCCTCTGCTGGGCCAATGGAAAAGGGCGATGACAGGATGACTAGGCGACGGTTTAATCCGTCGGCCGTCGGGCGGGGGGGGGGTGCGGAGGGGGCCCAGCGCTTGCAGTCCGAACGAGCGCCAGGGGCAGACTTGTCGAGGGGGACTGATGACAGTAGAACGGGCAGCTCTGTCTCTCGCCCTCTCTCGCTCTCCCTCCCTCTCTCTCTCTAGCCCTCTCTCTCTCTCTCTCTATCTCTCTCTCTCTCTCTCTTATCTCTCTTGTTCCCTACCTAGGCTCTGCCTAGAAGGATTCTTACTCTCTGAGCTTAAGGGGCCGGGCAGTGGGGCTCGCCCCGGGCGGTTCCCCCAGGATCCGCCCCGCGGTTCCCCCAGTTACGTCCCCTTAGCTTAGCGTTGCTTATCTCATCTTAGCTTAGCTTAGCTTATTTCATCTTAGCTCAGCTTCATCTCAGCTCAGGTTTATTCCCTACCTAGGCTCTGCCTAGAAGGGTTCTTACTCTCTATGTCAACGGGGCCGGGCAGTGGGGCTCGCCCCGGGCGGTTCCCCCAGGATCCGCCCCGCGGTTCCCCCTGTTGCGTCCCCCTGGGTTCACCCAGCTTAGTTTAGCTAAATTAAGCTTAGCTTATCTCATCTTAGCTTAGCTTAACTTAGCTTAGCTTGTGCCTAGCCTAGCTTAGCTGAGCTCAGCTTACCTTAGCTGAGCTGAACTTAGCCTATCTCACATTAGCTTAGTTTAGCTCAGTTTTGCCTAGCTTAGTTTAGCTTAGCTTGGATTAGCTTAGTTTCGCTTAACTTAGCCTAGCTTAGCCTACCCTAGCTTAGCCTAGCTTAGCATAGTTTAGCATAGTTTAGCTTACCTTAGCTTAGCTTAGCGCAGCGCAGCATAGCGCAGCGCAACATTAGCACAGCACAGCACAGCACAGCATATCATAGCATAGCATAGTCAAGCATTGCATAGCATAGCATAGCACAGCATAGCATAGCATAGCATATCATAGCATATCATATCATAGCATAGCTCAGCATATCATAACATATCATAGCATAGCATTGCATAGCGCGGTATAGCATATCATATCATAGCATAGCATTGTTTAACATCGTATTGCTTAGCATATATGTAGATGTAGATGTGAGTCTCGCTGTTGATGTTGATGTAGATGTAGATGCAGGTGTGTATGTAAATGTAGCTGTCGGTGTAGATGTAGATGTAAATGTAGCTGTCGGTGTAGGGTCGCACTCGGATAATATCTCTCTTCCTCTATATACATATCTATCTCCCTCACTCTCTCTCTCTCTCTCAATATAGTTATCATGCACGCTCTATAATTATCTCTCTCTTTCTCGATATCTCAGTGTGTATATATATATGAATATATATATATATATATACACGCCAGCCCCCTTGTGGGGCCACCAGGCTGCGAGGCACGGGTTCGCAGTTTCCAGTACCAGTTGTAGCTTGTAGTTTCCAGTGTTACAGTTCTGCTTCTTGCTGGTTACTTCAACTAATTGATTGACCGCGCGAGGGGGGGGAGGCCCAAACGGGATTTTTAGCACCCCCTGGGCGCGTTGTCTGAATTGCTGGGGGGGCTCGACATCGACACCCCTCACGCAGATCCGCGGGGTCAGGGTCCAAAAACACAGGGGATTTGCCACATTTCTGAAATTCGGTGCCACCCCTCACGCAGATCCGCGGGGTCAGGGTCCAAAAACACATGGATTTGCCACATTTCTGAAATTCGGTGCCACCCCTCACGCAGATCCGCGGGGTCAGGGTCCAAAAACACAGGGATTTGCCACATTTCTGAAATTCGGTGCCACCCCTCACGCAGATCCGCGGGGTCAGGGTCCAAAAACACATGGGATTTGCCACATTTCTGAAATTCGGTGCCACCCCTCACGCAGATCCGCGGGGTCAGGGTCCAAAAACACAGGGATTTGCCACATTTCTGAAATTCGGTGCCACCCCTCACGCAGATCCGCGGGGTCAGGGTCCAAAAACACATGGGATTTGCCACATTTCTGAAATTCGGTGCCACCCCTCACGCAGATCCGCGGGGTCAGGGTCCAAAAACACAGTGGATTTGCCACATTTCTGAAATTCGGTGCTACCCCTCACGCAGATCCGCGGGGTGCTACATTTCTGAAATTCGGTGCCACCCCTCACGCAGATCCGCGGGGTCAGGGTCCAAAAACACAGGGGATTTGCCACATTTCTGAAATTCGGTGCCACCCCTCACGCACATCCATCGCAAGGCGTGGTAACCCAAACTGCGAGTACTCCCTCGGCCCTTTAATCCCAAGGTGTGGTAACCAAGCTCGTAAACCATACACGTCTTACCAATCGCCCTGTGTGGTAACCCCTCTTGTGATCAGTTGGTTTTGCCGATTGCGAATCGGCTCGCATGAAGTTTCGATACTGCTGCACGACAGCGCCAAGGCCTCATGACTTAGCTCTTCCATGGCCCATTCTCCGAGAGAGGGGGCCGGCGGCAGGGGGCGAAGCCCTTACGGATATACATATATATATATATATATATATCCCTCTCTCTCTCTTTCTCTCTCTCTCTCTCTCTTTGTTTTCTCTCTCTCTCTCTCTCCGGAGTGCGCGGCGGAAGGGCCTCGCGAGAGCCTCCCCCTGGGGCGACGCAGAGCCTCCCCCGGGATGCCCGCGAGGCGCCGCCGAGGGGCGCCGGAGGGCCTCGCGAGAGCCTCCCGAAGAAGCCCCGAAGACGCTCCCGAGGAGGCGGAGGGGAAGGCGGAGGCGAGGAGGAGGCGGAGGCGGAGAAGGAGGAGGAGGAGGGAGGAGGAGGGAGGAGGAGGAGGAGGAGGAGGAAAAGGAGGCGGAGGAGGAGGGAGGAGGAAAAGGAGGCGGAGGAGAGGAGGAAGAGGAGGAGGAGGCGGAGGAGAGGGAGGAAAGAGGAGAGGAAGAGGAGGAGGAGGAGGAGGAGGAGGAGGAAGAGAGGAGAGGAGGAGGAGAAGATGAGGAGGAGGAGGAGGAAAAGGGAGGAGGGAAGAGGAGGAGGGAAGAGGAGGAGGAGGAGGAGGAGGACCGCCGTGCCCCGGCTGCGGCTGCAGCCCCGGAGGTTTGTGTGTGTGGGGGGGGGCTCGGCGAGGCGAGGCCCGGCCAGGCAGAGGCAGTGTTGGCGGCGCGCACAAGGGGGGGGTAGGGGGAGGTCGAGCATGTCCCCCGACAGGCGGATTTGCGACGAGAAGT